GGTGGGGAGAGGAAAGAGGCAAGATGCAGGCTGGCATTATTCATAGGATGGTCTTGACATGCCTTGGTTGTAATTTTTAAACTACAGAGGTAGTGGAAAATGGGTAGTGTTTAAAATCTGTGAATGTGCAGAGTTAAGTTTCGATCAGTTTGTGACATATCTTGGAACATATGGGTTGACTGAAATGGTATTAAAGTGTTTGCATTTTTGCTACAAGGGACCCATGATGTGGCCTGGTAGTTTACCTTGTGTACATCAGGGTATGCATCACAATTAGAAATTCCTCTCTACATTTCCCACAGCTAAGGCGTCAGCGTGGCCTTTTCCATTTCAGCCACATGCAAGAATTACCAACTGCATTCTACATATTGCATAAGGAAATTTAATTCCAAAGCACAGAAAAATGAAGTTAACCAAATGTACAATCTCACAAAAATGTCTTCATGATTAATAATATTAATTTTCTGAAAGCAATTCAGAATTATATTCCCAGCACCAGACGTTTATTGAATGGATGAATGAATGCAATTTTAAAAAGGTTATGAGACAAGAGACAGAAATTGATAATGTGCATAATCTTTTATCCTTACAGACATAATTAAGTGAAACTTATTATATACACCTGAAATCTACCACATAAGAAACAATATAAAATTAAGATACCTCATGTGAAAGAATTAAAGGGACATTGAAAATAATTTACCTTTTCATTTTGTATCTGATGGAGTATGGAAGAGAGCAAAATGTGGGGAGTTAAATAGATAATGATCATTATCCTGGTATTTCTATTATTAGTTTGAGTATTTGGAGAAATCAGGATCTCCCATCATTCCAGTGCCTTCCTCTGAAAAATGGGAAAAGTTTTTATCACAGAAGGAGGAAAATTAAATGACTAACTTGTACATTCTAGGGATTTTATAACTTCTCATAAAATATTACTCAACCTCTCATTTCCTTTTCATCATTGCAATCAGCATGTAAGTATATTAATGTAGTATTTTTCTTATTAGTAAACATTATTTATTAGTTACCTACATAAAGATATACTCATACATAAAGCTAAATACGGAAAGAAAAGAAAAGAAGAAAACCAAGAGGAAAAAGAGTGCCATTTAGATGTGTAAAGCTTCACAGCAAATTTTAGACACATCTCATGCCTCAGACTTTGAACTATATGGAAAGGAAAATGAATGAAGAAAGAAATTTTTTTATTTTAAAGATTTATTTTTATTATTTGGAAGAGTTAAAGAGAGAGAGGTCTTCCATCTGCTGATTCACTCCCCAAATGGCTGCAACAGCTGAAGCTGAGCCAATCCTAAGCAAGGAACCAGGGACTTCTTCCAGGTCTCCCATGTGGCTGCAGGGGCCTAAGCACTTGAGCCTTTCCAGGCCCACAGCAGAGTGCTGGATTAAAAGTGGAACAGCTGGGACTAGAACCTGACATATCGGATGCCAGCACTTCAGGCAGGGGCTTTAACCCGCTGTGCCACAGGGCTGGCCCCCGAAAGTAATTTATTTAGACTGTACTTTTTGTGTGTGGTATACATTCATTTAAAGTAAACAACTATTATTGTCTAGTCATTTATCAAGCACCAGGCACTATGGAAAAAAAAGCTCAATAATACAAGAGGAATTTGGAATGAAATAGTCTCTTCCATCAAAAAAGATGACAGTCTGGAAACATAGATGCACCTGACTCCTGAAGATTCATGTTACAAAGGAGATGAGCCCTTGCTGTTGGCACATACAGTAGGGACCCCTGAAGTAGTTGGGAATGGGTATGGGGGAATGCTGTGTTAAAGGGATATTTGAGACTTAGGTACTAGCAGGGTTTTTAAGTCACAGGAGGGCTGCAAGGCAGTATGGGATAGCATGCTGGTCAAAGAAATCATCTCTGCAAAAATCCCGAGTTAGAAGAGAGTGGTTTGTGTAGGGACTGAAGTAAAGCTTATGGATGGAACTCTAGTCTGCAAAGGAGAGAATACAGGAAGAGAAATGAGAAGAGGCTAGAGGAAGTTCAGGGCCAAATAAGGTGGGATCTTATCTGCTAGGTTAAATATTTTTAAGTTAAATATTTGTGGACTTTATGATCAATATGTAGCCACTTAAAGGTCTGAAACAGGGGATTGCAATAGTTTTGTGTTTTAAGACAATATTTTTCATTGCAGTGGGAACAAGGAATTTGAAAAGGAAAGAATCGGCTGGTGTCACGGCTCACTAGGCTAATCTTCCTCCTGTGACGCCGGCACCCCAGGTTCTAGTCCGGTAAGGGTGCCAGATTCTGTCCCGTTGCTCCTCTTCCAGTCCAGCTCTCTACTGTGGCCCAAGGAGGCAGTGGAGGATGCCCCAGTGCTTGAACCCATGGAGACCAGGAGAAGCACCTGGCTCCTGGCTTCGATCAGCTGTAGCGGCCATTTGGGGGGTGACCCAATGGAAGGAAGACCTTTCTGTCTCTTTCTCTCTCTCACTGTCTAACTCTGCCTGTCCAGAAGAAGAAGAATAAGAAAGAAGAAGAAGAAGAAGAAGAAGAAGAAGAAGGAAAAAGGAAAGAATCAGAGCCGGTGCTGTTTAAGGGGATAAGCGGATAAGCTGCCTACAATACTGGCATCCCATATGAGTGCTGGTTCTTGTCCCCACTCTCCACTTCTGATCCAGCTTCCTGATAATGCCTGGGAAGCAGCAGAAGACGGTTGTCCAGATGCTTGGGTGCCTGTAGCCATGTGGGGCACCTGGATGAAATTCCTAGATCCTGGCTTCAGCCTGGCCCAGCCCCGACTGTTACGGCTATTTGGGGAGTGAACCAGGAGATGGAAGTTCTCTCTGTATGTCTCCCTCTCTCTGTAACTCTGCCTTTCAGAAAAGAACTAGGAAATTGAGGATATATCATTCAAGGCACAGGTAATGGTGGTTTACATCTGGTGGTGGCAGTGGAGATGAATAGAGGAGGTAGGTTAGGGAGGTGAATGTTGGCATCAACCAGGATTTGCCCAGCAGGCTAACTCAGCAGACCTCAAAAGTCCTCCCAAACTCCAATACCCAATTCCATACCTGCAAAATTTTAATGCACCTTCACGTGTAGCCACAAATTATTTCCTTCCAACAGTAAGAGTTAGTTGCTTACTCTTGTAGCATCTGGCAAATGCATCCTTTAAAGCAGTATTTTTCAACCCTGGAAGTACATTAAAATTGTCTAGCCTGCATTCATTTGGACAGACTCCTTAGGAGTGGGCTGAGTCAGGATAGTGCTTAAAAGCTGCCCAGGTGGTTCTAACATGTATTCAGTGATGGGACCCAGAACTTTAAAAAGCACTCACTATTCTAGCTTTTTTTTGTCCTCTCCACTAGCTATATGCTCACTGTGGGCCAAGGCTGCTTATGAATTTTTGCATCCAGAGGGCTTAGCACAATAATGAATATTAATGCACTGTTATTTTTTAAGTAAACTAAGATACATAAATTGGATTACTTTTAGCCATTTGGGGCTTCTCTCTCTATGAAGATAAGTGGGAATAATTCAGGGAGATATTTAGGAGTATTCCCTTATAAGCTGTTCCATTAAGGTGGGAACAGACATTCAAATGTTATTGGAAATAAAGTATTAAAACTGTGCAAGTACTGTCAAAATTAAATGTTGTCCACAGAAATATATTTTGATTTGGGTTCTGCCTAATTATTTATTTTATAATCTACAGAGAAAGATAAGGCTTTTTAATGTATATGTTTCAATAAATGCTCTCAAGTACACCAGCTAATTGGCTGCTTTGTCCCTACAGTCCAATCTATTCCCAGGCATACAGGGACTCTCTAGGCTTACAGGAGAATGAAAGTTGCAGGCTACTTTATTTTACTTATGCTCTTTTCATCTAGTTTTGGGGGACAATCTTAGAACCTGATTTATCTGAAAGACTTATTATATCACAAGTTTGGAATGACATTGCAACTTGTCCATTTTCACAATTCATGAGAATGATTTTGAAGAACCTTAAAAATCAAACCAAGATGGAGTGACTTAAGCTAACACTATTAAAAACAAGAAGTCACCTTTGCCCCAAATAAAATTAAAGTTTAAAAATTATAGCCCTAAACTTTTCCCCCCAAAGCTAAAGTAGGTGCAGCTAGTAAAAATAAGGACCCTATGCTTAACTAGCTGCGACACTTGTGCCTGGCTGTGCTAAGACATAACCAGTTTGTATACCTCCTAATACTCAATAACGGTGTGGGAAGCGGGACGCTGCTCTCCCTCCAGGGGAACGAAGGGAGCGAAGACGTCGTCCCCTCAGGTGTGAACAAGATGACGCTGACGGGGAAAGGAACTGCTAAAGAAGTAAACAACAAAATGGCGATGAGGTGCATGCCTCCCATGTGATTCCCATAGCTGATTGGATAGAAGGCGCATGCCCTTCACATGATCAGCTCACGGATGGACTGCTGTGTGCATGGACACTATAGAGCTTTGATTGGTCGCTGCGGGTATATAAACCATGTGGCTTTGTGCTGGGGGCACTCTCTGGACTCCCGAGTTCAAAAGGCCCATCTGCGCAGATGCCGAATAAATCCTCTTGCTTTTGCATCAGCTGGTCTGGACTCTGAGTCTTGGGGTGTGCCTCTCGACGTGTTAGCATCCTCACTCAGAGGGTCTAACATTTGGGGGCTCATCTGGGATTGGTGCGCCCCCAGACTCAATTCCAGGTTCGGTTGGAGGTAAGAGCTAGCTCAGTTTTCGTTTCGTGTTGCTGTTGTGTATGTTTATGTCTTCAGTGTTTCGAAAAATTGTACCTGTACATGGCTTGTTTTGCTTGGGCCAGCGGGGGAGGCAGACATGCCCTGAGACCCCTGGTCCTGCTCTGGAGGACGCTCCAAGAGTTTTGTGGGGGAAAGAAAGAGATCAGGTCTCTCTCCTCCCCGGGGAACCCAGCGGTGGTTGGCCGCTCCCCTCTCGATTTGTACTTTCGGTTTGTTGCCAGTCAGTTGCCGCCCGGCTTGTGTGGTTTGTTCTGTTCGTCTGTCTAGTCGGTGTCCTGTACGTTGTCGATTCAATTGTTTTACCCATGGGTCAACAACTAACTACTCCTTTAAGTCTGACTTTAGGACATTGGAAAGAGGTCACGAAACGGGCACATATCCAGTCAATGGAAGTGCGCAAGAAAAAGTGGCTGGCTTTCTGCACCTCTGAGTGGCCCTCCCTTGAGGTCAGATGGCCTCAGGACGGCACTTTTAACCTTACTATTATTTTACAGGTCAAAGAGAAGGTTTTCCAACCCGGGACCGCATGGACATCCGGACCAAGTGCCTATATTGTCACCTGGGAGAGTCTCTCCCGAGATCCTCCAACATGGGTTAAGCCTTTCCTTTCCTCTTTAGGGGCACAGACCCCGAAACCTGGCCCCGGGTCTTCTTTAACCCCACTCGTGCCCTTACCTTCGGCGCTGCTCACTTCTTCTTCCCTTCTTCCCTGAATGAACCACCTAAGCCTATGCCAAAAACTCCACCAGTTCTCCCAGACACTCAGGAAAATCTTCTACTTCTAGACCCTCCTCCTCCGTACCCTCCTCAAGTCCCACCACAGTTGGTTCAGGAACCCCAGGACCCTGAGCCACCCTCCCCCAACTCCACCGAAATGGGAGGGTTAGAGCCCTCCTCCTCCCTACCCTCTACTCGCCTGTGGCTGCAGAGGGAACGTGCCGGTGGCCCGGAGGGTGTCTGGTCCTCTCAAGCATTTCCTTTAAGGTTGATGGCCTGCCAGATTCAGTATTGGCCATTCTCCGCCTCCGACCTATACAACTGGAAGACCCACAATCCCTCCTTTTTCCAAGACCCCCAAGCTTTGACCAGATTAATTGAATCCATTCTACTCACTCACCAACCCACTTGGGATGATTGTCAGCAACTTTTACAGGTCCTCCTCACCACGGAGGAAAAACAGCGAGTCATATTAGAGGCTCGTAAAAATGTGCTGGGAGCAGATGCCAGGCTGACCCAACTGCCTAACAAGATCGAGGACGTCTTCCCTCTGACTCGCCCGGAGTGGGACTACAACACCGTGGCCGGTAGGGAGCGACTCTGTCTCTATCGCCAGACTCTGTTAGCTCGTCTCAAAGGGGCAGGGAAGCGCCCCACCAATTTGGCCAAGGTACGTGCGATTATCCAGGGTCAGAAAGAGATGCCGGCAGGGTTCTTAGAACATTTAATGGAAGGTTATCACATGTATACCTCTTTTGACCCTTTGGCCGCCTAACGCCAGTTGGATGTAATTATGTCGTTATTCAGACAATCGGCTCCCGATATCCGAAACAAATTACAACGACTGGATGGGCTGCAAGAGTATACATTACAGGACCTACTAAAGGAGGCAGATAAAATTTTCAATAAAAGGGAAACACAGGAGGAAAAGGAAGAAAGATTATGCAAAGAGCAAGAGCGGAGGAAGGACATCTGGGACAAAAAGCGGAATTGAGAATTAACCAAAATTTTGGCCACAGTAGTGCAGGGTGCAGGGCAAGGTAGGCCAGGACAGAATAAGACCCTGGGAGACAAGAGAAGGCCCCGAGTAGAACGAGACCAATGTGCCTACTGCAAAGAAAAGGGACACTGGGTTAAAGACTACCCTAAGCTGTCTCAGGAAACTAAGAAAAAGACAGTTCCAGTCCTGCCCTTGGGGGAAGACAACTAGGAAAGTCAGGGCCAGGAACCCCCCCTCAGCCCAGGGTAACTCTTGACGTAGGGGGGGCACCCGGGACCTTCCTGGTAGATACGGGAGCACAACATTCGGTGCTGACCGAGGCCAGGGGGCCTCTGAGTTCTAAAACTTCTTGGGTCCAGGGAGCTACTGGGGGAAAATTGTACAGGTGGACAACTGAATGAAAGGTCCATTTGAACACCGGACAGGTGACTCACTCGTTCCTACTGGTGCCAGATTGCCCATACCCCCTATTGGGCTGGGATTTGCTTTCAAAAGTGGGGGCCCAAATTCACTTTCATGATAAGGGGATTTCAGCCACCAGCCCGGAAGGGCAGCCCCTTCAAATACTGACAATACGCCTAGAGGATGAACATCGATTGCTCAAAAAAACCCCAGCTAATACAACCTCTCTAGACCCCAAGTGGTTAACGGACTTTCCCCAAGCTTGGGCAGAAACGGCCGGAGTAGGATTGGCTGTCAACCAACTGCCCCTAATAATTGACTTAAAACCCTCGGCCACCCCAGTGTCAATCCGGCAGTATCCTATGAGCAAGGAGGCCAAGGAGGGCATCAGGCCCCATATAGAGAGACTGTTGCGGTTGGGCATCTTAAAACCGTGCCACTCGCCTTGGAATACCCCCCTCCTCCCAATAAAAAAAGCCAGGCATGGGGGGCTACAGGCCAGTGCAGGACCTACGGGAAGTTAACCGAAGGACGGGAGACCTGCACCCTACTGTGCCCAATCCTTACAACCTGCTAAGTACCCTACCACCAAGTCATCAATGGTATATGGTACTAGACCTTAAAGATGCATTCTTTTGTTTAAGACTGAGTCCTCAAAGTCAACCCCTGTTCGCCTTCGAGTGGAAAGACCCGGAGGCCGGACTTTCTGGACAACTCACTTGGACGAGATTGCCACAAGGGTTTAAAAATTTGCCTACCCTGTTTGATGAGGCCCTGCACCAGGATCTAGCAGCCTTCCGAGTCAACAACACCAGCATAGTCCTCCTTCAATGTGTGGACGACCTGCTTTTGGTGGCAGAAACCAAACAGGACTGTCTAAAAGGTACGGGGTCCCTGCTAAAAAAATTGGGGGAATTGGGATACAGAGCCTCCGCGAAAAAGGCGCAAGTGTGCAAAAGACAGGTGACCTACCTGGGATACCTGCTAGAAGGTGGTCAGTGGTGGCTAACAGAGGGCCGGAAACAGACAGTTGCCCTAATTCCATCACCCAAGAGCGCCCGACAAATGCGAGAATTTCTCGGCAGCACAGGCTTCTGCCGACTATGGATACCAAGATTTGCGGAATTAGCAGCACCTCTGTACCCCCTCACTAAACCCAATGCCCCCTTTATATGGGAAAAAGAACATCAAATGGCGTTTGATCAAATCAAAAGGGCTCTATTGTCAGCCCTTGCCCTAAGCCTCCCCGATGTGACTAAGCCCTTCACATTGTACATTGATGAACGAAGGGGAATAGCAAAGGGCGTCCTGGTTCATAAACTGGGACCTTGAAAAAAGCTGGTGGCTTACTTCTCAAAAAAATTGGATAATGTGGCCGCTGGTTGGCCCCCATGTCTGCGCATGGTGGCCGCAGTGGCAGTCCTTGTCAAAGATGCAGATAAATTGACTCTAGGACAATCCCTCACCGTGGTGGCCCCCCATGCCATTGACACCATCATCCGGCAGCCACCAGATAGGTGGCTCTCCAATACCCGAATGACTCACTACCAAGCCATGTTGCTCAACCCGGAGCAGATTCAGTTCGGACCTGCCACCCCCCTGAACCCGGCTATCCTGCTCCCGGACATGGAGCCCGGCGCCTGGGTACCTCATGACTATCATCAAATCCTGGTTGAGGCCCATGGCACCCAGGAGGATCTGACAGATCGGCCGTTACCAGACGCGGAACACACCTGGTACACCGACCAGAGCAGTTTTCTACAAAACGGTGAGCGGAGGGTGGGGGCGGCCATGGTGGATGGACACTCCATAATATGGGCAAGCGCCTTGCCTGCGGGAACCTCGGCTCAGAAAGCCAAGCTTGTGGCCATCACACAGGCCCTTAAACAAGCTAGCAGGAAAAAAGTTAACATCTATACTGATAGCCTCTATGCGTTCGCTACCGCCCATATACATGGAGAAATTTACCGAAGAAGGGGCCTCTTAACCTCAGCAGGAAAAGATATAAAAAACAAGACTGAAATTTGAGACCTCTTACAGGCGCTTTTCCTACCTAAAAAGTTGAGCATAATTCACTGTCCTGGACACCAGCGGGGAAGTGACCCTATAACAAGAGGAAATAAAATGGCGGATGAGGTTGCTAGAACAGCTGCGGTAGGCCCGCAGACTCTACACCTGAGTACTGCAGTGGCCCAGCATACGCCAGACTGTGGGGTCCTCCCCTTCCCCTATTTAGATCAAGATTTGGATGAAATCCAGCGGCTTGGGGCAGATTACGATGAACAAAAGGGAGTTTGGACACTCCAGGACAAAGTTGTCCTGCCCCACAAAATGGCCCATGAACTAATAACTCGACTCCATAGGTGGACTCATTTGGGACATAAAAAACTAAAAATGCTGCTGCGACAAAAAGATCAACCTTACTTTATCCCAAGGCTTAACTTTCTAGTTCAACAGGTCACCGAGTCCTGCGTTCCCTGCGCTAAGGTCAATGCGGGGCGCCTCAAGCTGCCGGAAGGAACAAGGTTCCAGGGGGATCGACCCGGAGTCAATTGGGAGGTAGACTTCACCGAGGTTAAGCCAGGAAAATATGGTAACAAGTATCTCCTAGTTTTTGTAGACACCTTCTCTGGGTGGGTGGAAGCCTTTCACACCAAACAAGAAACCGCTCAAGTGGTCGTCAAAAAAATCATCGAGGACATCTTCCCGCAATTTGGTCTCCCTCAGGTAATTGGGTCTGATAACGGGCCTGCCTTCGTCTCCCAGGTAGGTCAGCTGGTGGCCAAAACGCTGGGGATAAACTGGAAATTACATTGTGCTTATTGGCCCCAAAGTTCAGGACAGGTAGAACGGACAAATAGAACAATTAAAGAGACCTTAACTAAATTAGCTATGGAGACTGGCACTAGAGACTGGGTCCAACTCCTCCCTATGGTCTTGTTCCGGGTCCGGAACACGCCCTCACACCATGGGTTAACCCCATATGAAATATTGTATGGGGGACCCCCTCCTGCCGCAAACCTGCTTGACCCTATGCTTGACCCCTTTATTAACATGCCTAATTTGCAGGCACGACTAAAGGCACTCCAGATCATACAGAACCAGATCTGGAGACCTCTAGCTGCGGCCTACTGGACCGGGAATGCGTCAGTCCCTCACTCCTTCCAAATCGGCGACTCTGTCTACATCAGAAGACACCAGTCTAAGACTCTCGAACCCCGCTGGAATGGCCCCTACTCTGTACTGTTGACCACTTCGACAGCCCTTAAGGTAGACGGAATCGCCACCTGGGTTCATGCGTCCCATGTCAAGCGAGCACCATCGGGAGCTGAAAGAGCCTCGGGCGAACCAGCACAATGGAAATTGCAACGCACTCAAAATCCGCTCAAGCTAAGACTTTTAAAAACTGTGTAATGTTCTTAACTTTGCTTGCCTCAGCTGTAATGACTGAAAATCCCCATGCCCCCCAAAACCTTACTTGGCAGATAGTGTCAGCCTCAGGTAGCATTGTATGGTCCTGTAGACACCTCGCACCTGCTTGGACGTGGTGGCCATCCCTTACCCCAGACTTGTGTGCAGTGGTGGATAATCTGGAAACCTGGGAACCCCCAGAGTTCAGAATAAACATGGGTGGTGGGGGGCCTACTGGCGCATGGCTCGGCATGGGAAGCAACCTCCAATACCTGGCAGGGTGCTCCATGACTGATGTGCGAACCTCCCTCCAAAGTCTTGATTTTTATGTGTGCCCCTGGAGGGATAAGGGGGATCCCTACAAACGTAGCTGTGGCGGGCCAGAACATTTCTACTGTAAAGCTTGGGGTTGCGAAACCACAGGGAACACTTACTGGAACCCCTCCTCTAGCTGGGATCTCATTAGGGTCACGCGGGCTCTGCCGAGGCGGGGCCAACCCACAGTGGCTAACCCCCTAAACATAACCTTTACCAGCCATGGGCAGAACAATCGGGATTGGATAAAAGGTAAACAATGGGGCCTCCGGCTGTATCAGCACGGCCATGATAAGGGTCTCATTTTTACAATCCAGCTGAGTATAAGAAGCCCAAACCCCGTGTCAGTAGGTCCCAACCATGTCTTAACAAAACAAGGACCCCCGCTAGGGAAACACGGTGGGGGAGTAGCCGCCCGGCGTCCAGCTGTTCCGCTGGCCTCCTCCCCACAGGCAGCCGCCCCAACCCAACCAACCCCGAGCACCCATGGGTCTGGGGCACCCTCTACCCTGACTCAATCTCTCTTGAATATCAGCAGGTCTGGAGTGCCCCCTCTAGCAACCAAACTTCCTTCACCAACTGAGCAAAGACTGCTTAACCTCATTAAAGGGGCTTATTTTGCTATTAACCTCACCAATCCCAACCTAACCTCCTCCTGCTGGCTTTGCCTGACCTCCAGCCCACCTTATTATGAAGGCATAGCCGTTGCTAGACCCTATAATGCTACCAAAAGTGCTCAATGCTCATGGGAGAAGTCACGACCCAGGCTCATTCTAACCCAGGTTTCCGGTAAAGGAACATGCCTAGGAAATCCTCCCCCATCCCATGCCCAACTGTGTAATGTTACCATCCCCAGTGCAAATCTAACAACCTATGCCCATGTTAGTCCAGGCTATGGAAACTGGTGGGCTTGTAACAAGGGACTTACCCCATGTGTGTCTCCCTCGGTCCTTAGTGCCACCCGGGATTTTTGCATTATGGTACAGCTAGTGCCTAAAATAATTTAGCATCCAACCAACACACTAGAAGAGTCCTATGATAGACACCCCACCCGCTTTCATAGAGAGCCAGTTTCTCTGACCCTAGCAGTCCTATTAAGGCTCAGAGTTGTGGCCGGGGTCAGAACTGGAACAGCAGCCTTAATCCAGGGTCCTCAATATTACAGTGACTTAAAAAACACCATCGATGAGGACATACAGGCCCTGGAACAATCTATAACTAGGCTGAAGGAATCCCTCACTTCCCTGTCCAAGGTAGTCTTACAAAATAGGAGAGGACTTACTCTTTCTCGAGAAAGGGGGCCTTTGTGCGGCCCTTGGTGAAGAGTGCTGTTTTTATGTCGACCACTCGGGAGTCATAGAAGACTCCATGGCAAAACTAAGGGCTAGGTTGGACAAAAGACATAAAATTGAGGCCCAACAAGGCTGGTTTGAGGGTTGGCTCAACAAGTCCCCCTGGTTAACCACTCTCATTTCCACAGTCACGGGCCCCTTAATTATCCTCCTCCTAATTTTAACTTTTGGCCCGTGCATCCTCAATCGGTTGCTGCAGTTCATCCGGGACCGGTTGTCCATCACGCAGGCCTTTGTGCTCATCCAACAATACCAGGGTCTCAGGGACGGCGCTGACCTTTAGATTTTAGGATTAAAATCTCTCCAAAAAGAAAAGGGGGGAATGAAGAACCTTAAAAATCAAACCAAGATGGAGTGACTTAAGCTAACACTATTAAAAACAAGAAGTCACCTTTGCCCCAAATAAAATTAGTTTAAAAATTATAGCCCTAAACTTTTCCCCCCAAAGCTAAAATTAGGTGCAGCTATAAAAATAAGGGACCCTATGCTTAGCTAGCTGCGACACTTGTGCCTGGCTGTGCTAAGACCTAACCCAGTTTGTATACCTCCTAATACTCAAATAACGGTGTGGGAAGCGGGACACTGCTCTCCCTCCAGGGGAACGAAGGGAGCGAGACGTCATCCCCCTCAGGGTGAACAAGATGATGCTGATAGGGAAAGGAACTGCTAAAGAAGTAAACAACAAAATGGCGACGAGGTGCATGCCTCCCATGTGATCCTGTAGCTGATTGGATAGAAGACGCATGCCTTTCACATGATCAGCTCACAGATTGGACTGCTGTGTGCATGCCTCCCATGTGATCCCGTAGCTGGATAGAAGACGCATGCCTTTCACATGATCAGCTCGCGGATTGGACTGCTGTGTGCATGGACACTATAGAGCTTTTGATTGGTCGCTGCGGGTATATAAACCGTGTGGCTTTGTGCTGGGGGCGCTCTCTGGACTCCTGAGTTCAGGAGGCCCGTCTGCGCAGATGCTGAATAAATCCTCTTGCTTTTGCATCAGCTGGTCTGGACTCTGAGTCTTTGGGGTGTGCCTCTTGACGTGTTAGCATCCTCACTCGGGTCTAACAATTTCAGCCACTTTATAATACAGCACCTGTTCAGTTTTTAAAGAAGGCATTTGATCCCATTATAAAGCTACTGCCCAATTTAATGCAAAGCCAAATTAGCTTAAATGAAGACTGGGACAAGGCCTAGAGAGACTCTTTCCATTCCTGACTATCAAACTCTAGCCCCACAGGGAAGTGCCTGAACATCTGTACAGATTGATGCTGAATTGAATCAGAGCTATCATTTTTTTTCTCATGTTAACACAGTGTGAGGTATTGGGAAATGATAGTTCTCTCATGAAAGGAGTAGAAGGACCAAATTACAGAAGTTAGCTACACTGGCCATCTGTCTGGAGGGACACACCTGAGCAGGGACTCCTAAAGTAAGGGTTGAGTATTGACCAAAACAAAGCTGGGCTGCACCCAGGAGGAAAAGGAAACCTACAGGCAAGGAGTCAGGGAGAACTCAAAGGTGCAGGTGGACACAGTTAGAGGTGTGTGTGTGGCGGGAAATTATTGAGTTGAGGCCAGATCTAACACAGAGAATCTGAAAAAAATATCATAAACATTCTTGGTCTCATATCTGACCTTCCTAATCTTGTTAAAGTTGCCTTTTTGGAAGCTTAGATCCAAATATCTGGCCGACCTCGCAGGAAGTCACAGGCATATTTGTGCACTGATCTCTCTCTTGGCTTCTGTTGTAGTTTTCCATCATCACAGGACCAAATTACCACAAATTAATGGCTTAGAGGCAATTATTATCTTACAGTTTCTGTGGGTCAGAAGGCTGAGCATAGCTTAAGTGGGTCTTCTGCTTAGAATCTCATAGGCAGCCATTAAGATTCCAGCTGTGTTGCAGTCACATGTGTAAGCTTCCCTGGGGAGTTCTCCACTGCCAAGCTCATTTGGGTTACTAGCTTCCATGCTGGTCTCATTGAGGTCCTCGGCTTCTATAGGCCACCTGAAGGGTCTTTGCCATGTGGTCCTCTATCCAGGCATTTCACACATCCTGAGTGCTTTTGACTTCTGCCAGCCTCTCCTATCTCCATAAAGGGTTGTCCTGTTTAGGGAAGACCTGTCCAATATAATCTCCTAAAATTAAGTCCTGTGATTAGTAATTTTGATTACATTTGAAAAACCCCCTGTCGCTCCCCCTCTTCATGGAGGAACAACACTAAACCCTGCCTAGGCTTCATATCCGAGTCACGGCACCATTATGTCGCTCCCCGTCTTCGTGGAGGAACGACACAGGACCCTGCGCTGTTCTTTCGTCTGCTCGGCCCTCCCCGGGTTTGCTGCTGGTTCTTCCCGGGTTGGCTACCGTCCCTTCCACCTCCGTGGAAGGGCGGTTCCCCCTGCCACCTTCCCCACTTCCCCAGGGGAGCGGCACACCGCCGGCCGGCTCTCTCGGGGGCTGCACAGGTGTTCCTTCAGATAGATGTTCCTGGTGCATGTTGTCTCTCTCCTCCTTTATAGTCCTCTTCCACCAATCCCAACTCTGCTACCCACACGCCAAGTACGCTGCTCTCCTCCAATCAGGAGCAGGTCCTACAGTTTATTGGTTGAACTGGAGGCAGCTGTGTAGAAGCTGTTTCTCCCTTCTCAGCGCCATATTGTGGGAGAGCAGATGCATAGAATAAGTCTTAATTCCAGTAACTTAGTCTAGTCCAAGTTGCTCCCCACACTCCCCTCAGAAAAGTACCTAGATATTCCTCTCCCACCTATGACCAGCTTTGAATTTTTGTGTTGAGTTTCCATTTTATATTTTTAAAATTATTAATTTCCTTTTTTAAAAAAGATATATTTATTTCAAAGGCAGAGTTACAGAGAGGCAGAGAGAGAGAGAAAGAGACAGAGAAAGAGAGGTCATCCATCTGCTGGTTCACTCCCCAGATGGCCACAGCTGCTGGAGTTGTGCCAATCTGAACTAGGAGCCAGGAGCTTCTTTCAGGTCTCCCAAGCAGCTGCAGGGGCCCAAGGACTTGGGCCATCTTTCACTGCTTTCCCAGGCCATAAGCAGAGAGCTGGATCAGAAGTGAAGCAGCCAGAAATTGAACTGGTACCTATATGGTATGCCAGTACTGCAGACAGCAGCTTTAACCACTACACCACAGCGCCTGCCCCTTAGTTTACTTTAGACGCATGTTTTCAGTATTGAAATTCAGTATGTTTCTATGATGAGTATATTATACTTTTGAAATATACTCATCTTAGAAACATACTGAATTTCAATTTTAGGGAGACTTGAATCTACATAGTTTCACAAGAGGCAAAAGGGGAGGTA